GGGAGGGAGGGGCTCCCCTGGGGAGGGGGCTGACCCGATGACCCTGCCTGACCTTTGCCCCCCCCTTGCCTCCCCCCAGGTGTCCGTCCTGCCTTGTGGTGCGCCCACCGCCCGAAGCCCCTCCGCTCCCCGGGGTCGTTCTTCCATCGGGGCGTCCCGCTCGTGGCCAAGGTCGAGGGCGCCGAGAGGTACACCAGCGGGTCCAAGGTCAGAGGGGAAAGGGCAGGGGAGGTCACGGGTGGAGGGGTCAGTCAACACACTTGGCACGGGACACGGGGCTCAAGTGGACACAGCCAGGCCGGCCTTGGGACCCAGGTCAAGGGAGGAACACACGCCCTGGGCCCCAGAACCAAGTCCCAGGCCCACATGAAGGAGGAGAAGGAGGAAGAGAAGGAGTATAAGGAGGAAGAACAGGGGGGAGTGGAGGTGGAAGAGGAGGAGGTGGAAAAGGAAGGAGGAAGGAGGAGAAGAGAAGGAAAAGAATGGGGAGGGGGAGGAAGGGGGAGGAGGAAGAGAAGAAGGAAGAAGGAGGGGGTGAAAAAGGAGGAAGAAGAAGGCAAGAGGAAGAAGAATAGGAGGAGAGAAAATAAGGAGGAAGAGAAAGAAGAGAGTGAGGAAGAGAAGAAAGAATGGGAGGAGGAAGAAGAGTGTGAAAAAGGAGGAAGAGGAAGGCAAGAGGAAGAAGACTAGAAGGAGAAAGAGAAGAAAGGTATGGGGAAAGAGGACAAAGAGTGTGAGGACAAGGAGGAAAAAGAGTTGGTGGAGATGGAAAAGGAAGAAGGGAGGAAGCGGAAGAGAAGTAAAATAAGGGGGAAGCAGAGGGGAAAGGAGGAGGAAGAGGAGGAAGGGAAGGTGGAACAGAAGAAGGAGGAGGGTGAAAAAGGAGGAAGGAAAGGGCAAGAAGAAGAAGAATAGGAGGAAGAAAATAAGAAGGAAGAGAAAGAAGAGGGTGAGGAAGAGAAGAAAAAATGGGAGGAGGGGGAAGAGGAGGGTGAAAAACAATGAAGAGGAAGGTTACAGAAGACTAGAAGGAAAAAGAGAAGAAAGATACAGGGAAAGGACAAAGAGGGTGAGGAAGAGGAGGAAGAAGAAGAGGAGAAAAAGGGATAGGAGGAGATGGAAAAGGAAGGAGGAAGGAGGCGGAAGAGAAGGAAAATAAGGAGGAAGAAGAAGGGAAGGAGGAGGCAGAAGAGAAGAAGGGTGAGGAAAAGGAAGAAGGTGAAAAAGGAGGAAGGCGAGAGGAAGAAGAATAGGAGGGAGAGAAAATAAGAAGAGGGCGAGGAAGAGAAGAAAGTAGCAAGGGAGCACCAGGAAGAGGAGGAGGGAGGAAGGGGGAAAGGAAAAGGAGAAGTGTGGATGAAAAGAAGATGGAGAGGAGGGCAAGAGGAAGAACAGAAGGAAAAACAAGAGAAATCAAGGAAGAAGATGGCGAGGAAGAGAAAAGGAGAGGAGGAGGAAAAGGAAGGGAAAGAAGAGGAGGGCAAGAGGAAAAAGAATAGAAGGAGAAAGGGAAAAATAAGAAGAGGAAGAGGGTGAGGAAGAGAAGAAAGGAAAAAGTGGAGCAGGAGGAAGAGAATGACGAGGAAGAAGAAGGGGGAAGAGGAGAGGAGTAGGAAAAAGGGGGAAAGGAAGTAGAGGAGAAAGAAGAGAAGAAGGAAGGTGAAGAAAAGGATGAAGAAGAAGAGGGGGAAGAGAAGAAAGAAAAAAGGGAAGAAGAGGGTGAGGAAAAAGAGGAGGGTGGGTGAAAAAAGGATGAAGAGGGGAGGCAAGAAGAAGAAGAATAAGAAAAAGGAATATAAGGGAGAAGAGGAAGAAGTGGGTGAGGAAGAAGAGGACGAGAAAGAAGAGAAGAAAGAATAAGGGAAGAGGAGAGCAAGAGGGAGAATAGAAGGAGAAAGAGAGGAAAGAAGAAGAGAAGAAGGAAAAAGAGGAAGAGGAGGAGGAAGAGAGGGAGACAGAGGGAGAAAAGATGGCAAAGAAGAGGAAGAGGAGGGCTGTGTTGTTCTCCGTTCTGCTTGTCTCCTGTGCTTTCTGACCGCACCGCAGGACCGGTTTCTGGGTTGCAATGGTTAAGAAGAGAGCAAATCAGTCACAGAATGGGAATCACAAGAGCTGCAAAGGAAGTGAGCCAACAGCCTTTGGAAAGTCTGAATCCCGGGCGTGGCGGGTTTTGCAACGCTTAGCAGAGCGTCCTCTCTCTTGTGCCAAAAAGCGCAAATCCCCTGCAAAGACTCCCAAGCGTGGGACGGGCCCTTGAGTGACTCCTTGCGCTTCCTCCTGCGCATCAATGTGCCTCAGGTTTCCCCAAACAGGAAATTTCCACGCTGGCCGGGAAGTCCCTTCTCTCGTGCTTGGCATTCCTTTCCGAGCCAGGAGAGTCCGTTCCACGGCATTGTCGAAATTTTTCATATGGCCATGTTCCAGAAGCATTCTCTCCTGACGTTTCGCCCACATCTACAGCAGGCATCCTCAGAAGTTGAGAGGCCTCTTGGAAACTAGAAAAATTCCAGGCAATAGACAATCCGAGCCAGCTAATCACCTCCCAACAAAGGATTCTCCCACGCAAGAAGAAGCCACACCTTGAAAACCACTACGCCATTCAAGGTGTCCAATTGCAACATTCACACCCGCCTCCGACAGACAAGAGTTCTTTCTTTCTCCCACTCTGGGCATCGTTCCACAGGGATGTACATCAGCCCCACTTGCCTCGTTTCCCACAGACCTCACAACCTCTGAGGATGCCTGCCACAGATGTGGGTGAAACGTCAGGAGAAGCGTGCATGAGAGCACATGCATGAGAGTGTGTGCATGAGTGGGCACAAGAGCGTGTGCATGAGATTCTGAAACATGGCCAGGCAGTCAGGAAAACTCACAGCAACCCACCCATTGCACTGTTCTGCAGGCAGCCCAGGCCTCTTCTGCACTGACATGTAAAACCCAGATTATCTGCTTTGAACTGGATTATATGGCAGTGTAGAAGGGGCCTTGGTGTCCCCAGCCCCAGATTCCACTGTGGCTCCCATTAAAAGAGAAGGCTGCTGTTTGCTTGGGGTTAGTCTAGCAAAGCATGCTTGAGAGGTTGTGCATGAGAGCGTGCACATAAGTGTGCATGAGAGCGTGTGCATGAGTGGACATGAGAGTGTGTGCATAAGTATGCATGAGAGCATGTGCATAACTGTGCATGAGAACATGTGCATGAGAGAGAGTGAGGGAGAGTGTGTGCATGAGAGTGTGTGCAAGAGTATGCATGTGAGTATTGCATGAGTGGGCATGAGAGTGTGCACATAAGTATGCATGAGAGCACATGCATGAAAGCATGTGCATGACTGTGCATGAGAACATGTGCATGAGAGAGAGAAAGAAAGTACATGAGAGTGTGTACAAAAGTATGCATGTGAGTATTGCATGAGTGTGCATGAGAGTGTGTACATAAGTGCATTGGAGCATGTGCATGAGAGCATGTGCATGAGAGAGTGCATGAGAGCACATGCATGAGAGCATGTGCATGAGTGGCATGAGAGAATGCGTGGAAGTGTGTGCATGAGTGTGCATGAGAGTACATGAGAGTGTGTGCATGAGTGGCATGAGAGAATGCATGGAAGTGTGTGCATGAGTGTGCATGAGAGTACATGAGAGCATGTGCATGAGTGGCATGAGAGAATGCATGGAAGTGTGTGCATGAGTGTGCATGAGAGTACATGAGAGTGTGTGCATGAGTGGCATGAGAGAATGCATGGAAGTGTGTGCATGAGTGTGCATGAGAGTACATGAGAGTGTGTGCATGAGTGGCATGAGAGAATGCATGGAAGTGTGTGCATGAGTGTGCATGAGAGTACATGAGAGCATGTGCATGAGTGGCATGAGAGAATGCATGGAAGTGTGTGCATGAGTGTGCATGAGAGTACATGAGAGTGTGTGCATGAGTGTGCATGAGAGTGTGCATGAGAGCATGTGCATGCATGAGAGTGTGTGCATGAGGGTGTTTGTTGGGATTTCCCATGAATCATCTCCTTGCAGTGGCTTGTGCCTTAATTTTTGAAGACTGTCATGACACTTTCTGCTTCTCTCCCTGCCAATGAAACCACAACAACAACAACAACAACTCAATACTGCCTTTCCCCCAGTTTGAAATTCAAGGTGATTGACAGCAGGGCACATCCACAGTGCCAAATGAATGCATTTGAACTGCCTTGGCTCAAGGCTATGGGATCCCGGGAGTTGTAGTTTCATGAGGCCCTCTTTAGCAGAAGAGGCTCAAGGCCTTGGGAAACTCCAACTCCCAGGATTCCATAGCATTGCGCCAAGGCAGTCAAGGTGGTGCCAAACTGCATCAGTTGTACTGTGTGGATGTGGGTTCGCCTGCAAACAACCAGACCCTATTTATGGCTTTGGATGGGGAGGAAGGGGTCCCTTGGCTGACCATTTTGGGGGCTTCTCTCCTCTCCTCCCCCCCCCTTTACAGGTGCGCCCGACCACGGTGTACACCTTGCGCTTGACCCACGGCGCCTTCTCCTGGACCACGAAGAAGAAGTTCAAGCACTTCCAGGAGCTGCACTGGGACCTCATGCGCCACCGCATGCTGCTGGCCTTCATCCCGCTCTCCAGGTCAGGAAACCAGGGCGGGGGGCTGTTCCCATGCACACAACCCATGCATCCTGTTGCAATAACACTATACAACACAATTTTGCAAAACAGAGACACCCTGCAGCACAATATATGGTGTTATTGCAACTATTTGTATTTATCTATTATATGATTATATTGTAATTATATTAGGTAACTAGCCGTCCCCTGCCAGGCGTTGCTGTGGCCCAGTCTGTTGATCTGGAAAATAAAGTAATGAGAAAGTGTTGGTTTCTAACCTATGTAATGTCTTTCTTCTTGTGAGTAAAGAGTATTGCTGTTTCTCTGTCAGTGTGATTGTGGAGATTGTCTGATTTGCCTACTTTGGAACATGCAACATATCATTGTCCTTCTTTAGGGGTCCCTTTCAAATCTAGGATACTATATCTCTCTGTGTGTGAATCATATCTATCTATCTACATACCTACCTACCTATCTCTATCTCTGGCTGGATGGCTCTTTGTCAGGAGGGATTTGATTAGATTTTCTTGCCCTGGTGAAGAAGGGAGTTGGACTGGATGGCCTTAAGTATTTTCTGTTGGTCATGGTGGTCCTGTGTGGGAAGTTTGCCCCAATTCTATCGTTCATGAGCTTCAGAATGCTCTGTGATTGTTGGTGAACTGTGAATCCCAGTGACTACAACTCCCAAATGTCAAGGTCTATTTTCCCCAAACTCCATCTGTGTTCACATTTGGGCATATTGAGTATTCGTGCCAAGTTTGGTCCAGATCCAGCATTGTTTGAGTCCGCAGTGCTCTCTGGATGTAGGCGAACTACAACTCCCAAATGTCAAGGTCTATTTCCTCCATCTGTGTTCACATTTGAACATATGGAATATTTGTGTCAAGTTTGGTCCAGATCCATCATTGTTTGAGTCCGCAGTGCTCTCTGGATGTAGGTGAACTACAACTCCCAAATGTCAAGGTCTATTTCCTCCATCTGTGTTCACATTTGAGCATATGGAATATTTGTGTCAAGTTTGGTCCAGATCCATCATTGTTTGAGTCCGCAGTGCTCTCTGGATGTAGGTGAACTACAACTCCCAAATGTCAAGGTCTATTTCCTCCATCTGTGTTCACATTTGAACATATGGAATATTTGTGTCAAGTTTGGTCCAGATCCATCATTGTTTGAGTCCGCAGTGCTCTCTGGATGTAGGTGAACTACAACTCCCAAATGTCAAGGTCTATTTCCTCCATCTGTGTTCACATTTGAACATATGGAATATTTGTGTCAAGTTTGGTCCAGATCCATCATTGTTTGAGTCCGCAGTGCTCTCTGGATGTAGGCGAACTACAACTCCCAAATGTCAAGGTCTATTTCCTCCATCTGTGTTCACATTTGAGCATATGGAATATTTGTGTCAAGTTTGGTCCAGATCCATCATTGTTTGAGTCCGCAGTGCTCTCTGGATGTAGGTGAACTACAACTCCCAAATGTCAAGGTCTATTTCCTCCATCTGTGTTCACATTTGAGCATATGGAATATTTGTGTCAAGTTTGGTCCAGATCCATCATTGTTTGAGTCCGCAGTGCTCTCTGGATGTAGGTGAACTACAACTCCCAAACTCAAGGTCAATGCCCACCAAACCCTTCCAGTACTTTTTGTTGGTCATGGGAGTTCAGTGTGCCAAGTTTGGTTCAATTCCATCGTTGGTGGAGTTCAGAACACTCTCTGGGATTTATAGGTGAACTATAAATCCCAGTAACGACAACTCCCAAATGTCAAGGCCTATTTCCCCCAAATTCCATCTTTGTTCATATTTGGGCATATGGAGTATTCGTGCCAAGTTTGGTCCATATCCATCATTGTTTGAATCCACAGTGCTCTCTGGATTTAGGTGAACTACAACTCCCAAACTCAAGGCCAATGCCCACCAAACCCTTCCAGTATTTTCTGTTGGGAGAACTGTGTGCCAAGTTTGGTTCAATTCCATTGTTGATGGAGTTCAGAATGCTCTTTGATTGTTGGTGAACTATAAATCCCAGCAACTACAACTCCCAAATGTCAAAATCATAATGTTTGGAGTGATGGTCACTCCTTGTGTTGTGAGACATTTTGTTGCCAAATTTGGTGTGATTTCGTTCATTGGTTCTTTTGTTTTTAAGGTACTCATTATGCACAGAGCATTCTTACATATATAGATAATAATAATATTAGTAATAACAATAATAAGTAACACAATTTTTGTTCCTAGGTTCTAAATGTCGTTTCCTAATTGGTTCTATCATTAAAAATACATGGAAAAGGTTTATGAGACTGCAAAAAGGTTGCTTCTGTGGGGGAGACACACCTTCCAGCACATTATATGATATTATTATGATTATGTTGATTATATATATATATATTATATATATAATATTATTATCTTATAATGACATTAGATAACGTATAATTATATAATAAATATAATCGTAATAATGGTCTGTAACACAATTTTCGTTCCTGGGTTATAAATGTCACTTCCTAATTGTTTCCACCATAAAAACATGGGGAAAGTGTATTAAATTGCACAATGTTTGTTTTTGTGGGAGGGACAACAAAGTTTGTGCAGTTTAATACACTTCCCCCGTGTTTTTATGGTGGAACCAATTAAGAAATGACAGGAAAAAATGTGTTGCATAGTATTATTACTATTATACTAGCCGTCCCCTGCCACGCATTGCTGTGGCCCAGTCTGGTGATCTGGACAATTCCTTTCTGCTTGTGAGTAAACAGTATTTCTTGCAGTTTCTTTGCCAGTGTTGATGTGGAGAGTGTCTGGTTTGCCTACTCGGGAACATGCAACATATAGTTGTCCTTCTTTAAGGGTCTCTTTCAAATCTATGGTACTATATCTGTGTGTATGTGTGAGAATCGTATCTGTCTATCCATATCTATGGCTGGATGGCTCTCTATCAGGAGGGCTCTGATTACGTTTTCTTGCCCTGGTGAAGAGAGTTGGACTGGATGGCCTTAAGTATTTTCTGTTGGTCATCAAGGATCTGTGTGGGAAGTTTGCCCCAATTCTGTCATTTGTGGGTTTCAGAATGCTCTTTGATTGTATTATTTATTTTATTTATTTATTTAATGCATTTGTTGACCGCCGCTCTCAGCCCTAGGGCGACTCGCGGCGGTGTACAACATATAAAAACAGTTTACAAAAGCACAGAGTACATCAACAACCATATAACACACTTAATCTAAATCTAACACACTTAATCTAACTTACACTTACTAATCCGCACCGTCACAACATAGGGATCTACCAATCTCATAATCCGTATTCCGTTCCGATTGTCATTGTCAGTTAGTCTGGGACTAGTTAAATGCCTTCTCGAAGAGCCAGGTCTTTAGGCTCTTACGGAAAGCCATGAGAGAGGGCGCCTGTCTGATGTCAGCAGGGAGGGCATTCCACAGCCGGGGGGCCACCACTGAGAAGGCCCTCTCTCTCGTCCCCGCCAAACGCGCCTGTGAGGCAGGCGGAATCGAGAGAAGGGCCTCCCCAGACGATCTCAAGGTCCTCGTGGGCTCATAGGCCAAGATGCGGTCCGAGAGGTATTTCGGGCCGGAACCGTTTAGGGCTTTGTAGGATAACACCAGCACCTTAAATTGGGCCCGGTAGCAAATCGGCAGCCAGTGGAGCTGGGACAACAAGGGCGTTGTATGCTCCCTGCGTCCCGCTCCCGTTAGTAACATGGCTGCCGCGCGCTGGACTAGCTGAAGCTTCCGGGCCGTCTTCAAGGGCAGCCCCACGTAGAGAGCGTTGCAGTAATCAAGGCGGGATGTGACCAGTGCATGTACCACCGTGGCCAAGTCAGACTTCCCAAGGTACGGGCGCAGCTGGCGCACAAGCCTAAGCTTGTAGGTGAACTATAAATCCCAGTGTGAAGGAGTGTGGTTGAACTTACTGCCACCTAATCTGTGAGGGAAGCCGGTCAACGATCAATATCAGCTTAGGAACTATTTTATAAAGGGACTATTAATTACAGAAGGCTTTATTCATTTGATAGCGTAGCGTTTACTGTCCCTGGCTTGACTTGACTTCTTATGCAGGCTGTTTGCCTTGAGAGAAACTGTATCAGGCAAGGCTTGAGGAAAACAGTAACAAGCTTATTTTAACAGGAGTATAACATGTTTAACAGTTTCTTCACAAGAGGCACAAATCTTGATGGTTACATTAGAAAGGTTTCATGAGTAATCTCAGCCACAGACTTCAAGAGGTTTCTATAAGCAGATGTAACTCTTCTGGACAACTGTCCTAAATAAAACAAATAAGCTAAAAGGCTTATTAACAGACTTGGCTCCCAGCCAAACCTTGATTCTTAACTCAGAATCAATAACCCCCTGTAGTTTTATCACTCCTGGATCCTTTTCTGTAACCCCTTTGGTCACCAATTAATTCCCTGAATCTCCACCCAGAGACTCAATCTTCCCAGTAGCTCACCAGCTTACTGACTGACTTTCAAAACAGCTGCCCCGTGAAGAGGCAGTTGGCTCCACCCCTGTTGCTATGGCAACCCAGCTAACGCCAAGCCACCATCTCCAACAAAATATATTCCTTCATACTTACCATTTATCAACCACTGTCTAAACAACACATAAACATGAGAATAAAAGTTACACATCGTCACACCCAGGAACTACAACTCCCAAATGTCAAAGTCGATTTCCTCCAAACTCCATCTGTGTTCATATTTGGGCATATGGAATATTTGTGCCAAGTTTGGTCCAGATCCATCATTGTTTGAGTCCACAGTGCTCTCTGGATGTAGGTGAACTACAACTCCCAAACTCAAGGTCAATGCCCACCAAACCCTTCCAGTGTGTTCTGTTGGTCATGGAAATCCTGTATGCCATGTTTGGTTCAATTCCATCATTGGTGGAGTTCAGAATGCTCTTTGATTGTAGGTGAACTATAAATCCAAGTAAGTACAAACCCCAAATATCAAGGTCTAGTTCCTCCAAACTCCATCTGTGTTCATATTTATGCATATGGAATTTTTGTGTCAAGTTTGGTCCAGATCCATCATTGTTTGAGTCCACAGTGCTCTCTGGATGTAGGTGAACTACAACACCCTAACTCAAGGTCAATGCCCACCAAACCCTTCCAGTGTGTTCTGTTGGTCATGGAAGTCCTGTATGCCATGTTTGGTTGAATTCCATCATTGGTGGAGTTCAGAATGCTCTTTGATTGTAGGTGAACTATAAATCCCAGCAACAACAATTTCCAAATGACAAAATCATATTTTTTTTCGAGTGGAGGACATACATTGGACTGTTAGGTGTCTTGTGACCAAATTTGGTGTCAATTCCCCCAGTGGTTTTTGAGTTCTGATGGTAGCACGAACTAACATTACATTTTTATTTACATAGATTTAGTTTACTGTAAGTTTTTCGGGCTGCCTGGCCATTTTTCAGAAGCATTCTCTTCTGATGTTTCGCCTGCTAAAGCACATTTTGTTCCAGCTTTGCAATGAATGTCTCATAGAGTCTCAACCAATTCGACATATTTTGTGCCACAAAAATTAAGTTTCTGGAGTAGAAATACTCTTTTCAAAGGAAGGGCTGCATCAATAAACAGGAAATAAGACTTTCAAACCAGGAACAAGAGGTTTTTTTTCAGTCTGGATGCGTCTGCACTGTCGGACGGATGCAGTTTGGCGCCACTTGCACTGCCTTGGCTCAATGCTACGGACTCATAAGGGTTGGGCAAGGCTGAAGATCTGGGGGAAATCTCCCAGGACTCATTCGGCCACCAAAGTGGTGCCAAACTGCATCAATTCCTGAGTGTAGCCCAGCGGTTCTCAACCTGGGGGTCACGACCCCAAAGGGGGTCGTTGGGCCATTTTCCGGGGGTCGCGAATCCCTTCATCCATTGTCCGTATCATTAATCACTATGCTTTAATTACGTTCAATTTGGGTTGTTGTAGGTTTTTCCGGGCTATATGGCCATGTTCTAGAGGCCATATAGCCCGGAAAACCCTACAACAACCCAGTGATTCCGGCCATGAAAGCCTTCGACAATATATGTTCAATTTGTAACAATGGAAATACATCCTGCATATCCAATGTTTACATTACAATTCATGACAGTACAGTTTTGTTTTTTTTTTCTCATGTCAGGGTAGCCAGTCAATTATATTACATTTCTAACACAACAAAGCAAACAGAGAAAATACAAAATGTGTGAGTTTGGTAGTTGATGAAATGTCCTCTGAGCAGTCTCTGGCCCCTTGGAGTGCCTCTGGTGTTGCCGCAAGGAGGTCCTCCCTTGTGCATCATGTGGCAGGGCTCAGGGTGCATTGCAGCAGGTGGTCAGTGGTTTGCTCTTCTCCGCACTCGCATGTCGAGGATTCCACTTTGTGGCCCCATTTCTGAAGGTTGGCTCTGCATCTCGTGGTGCCCGAGCACAGTCTGTTCAGCGCCTTCCAAGTCGCCCAGTCCTCTGTGTGCCCAGTGGGGAGTCTCTCATTTGGTATCAGCCATTGGTTGAGTTTCTGGGTTTGAGCCTGCCACTTTTGGACTCTCTCTTGCTGAGGTGTTCCAGCAAGTGTCTCTGTAGATCTTAGAAAACTATTTCTAGATTTAAGTCGTTGGCGTGCTGGCTGATACCCAAACAGGGGATGAGCTGGAGATGTCTCTGCCTTGGTCCTTTCACTATTGGCTGCTCCTTCCCGGTGGATGTCAGGTGGTGCAATACCAGCTAGACAGTGTAATTTCTCCCGTGGTGTAGGGCGCAGACACCCCATGATAATGCGGCATGTCTCATTCAAAGCCACATCCACTGTTTTAGCGTGGTGAGATGTGTTCCACACTGGGCATGCATACTCAGCAGCAGAGTAGCATAACACAAGGGCAGATGTCTTCGCTGTGTCTGGTTGTGATCCCCAAGTTGTGCCAGTCAGCTTTTGTATGATATTGTTTCTAGCACCCACTTTTTGCTTGATGTTCAGGCAGTGCTTCTTGTAGGTAAGAGCACGGTCCAGAGTGACTCCTCCCAGGTATTTGGGTGCGCTGCAATGCTCCAGTGGGATTCCTTCCCAGGTGATCTTCAGAGCTCGGGATGCTTCTCTGTTCTTGAGATGAAAGGCACATGTCTGTGTTTTAGATGGAGTAGGGATCAGCTGGTTTTCCCTGTAATAGGCAGTAAGAGCACCTAGAGCTTCAGAGAGCTTCTGTTCAACCATCTCAAAGCTCCCTGCTTGAGCAGGTAATGGCACGATCATCAGCATAGATGAAACTCTCTGTCCCTTCTGGCAGTGGCTGGTCAGTTGTGTAGATGTTGAACATGGATGGAGCGAGCACGCTCCCCTGAGGCAGGCCGTTCTTCTGTTTCCGCCATCTGCTTCTCTGGCCCTGGAACTCAACAAAAAAGCTCCTGTTTTGTAGCAGGTTTCCTATGAGGCGGGTGAGACGGTCGTCCTTTGTGATATTATATATATGATATATGATTAGGGATCAGCTGGTTTTCCCTGTAATAGGCAGTAAGAGAACCTAGAGCTTCAGAGAGCTTCTGTTGTACCATCTCAAAGCTCCCTGCTTGAGCAGTGATGGCATGATCATCAGCATAGATGAAGCTCTCTGTCCCTTCTGGCAGTGGCTGGTCATTTGTGTAGATGTTGAACATGGATGGAGCAAGCACGCTCCCCTGAGGCAGGCCGTTCTTCTGTTTCCGCCATCTGCTTCTCTGGCCCTGGAACTCAACAGAAAAGCTCCTGTTTTGTAGCAGGTTTCCTATGAGGCGGGTGAGGTGGTCGTCCTTTGTGACATTTACAGTTAAGACGTAGCAACAAAAATATGGTTGGGGGTCACCACAACACGAGGAACTGTATTTAGGGGTCACGGCATCAGAAAGGTTGAGAACCACTGGTGTAGACGCTGCTTTGGTCTGACTCGTCTGCTTCTTTTGCAGGTTCTCTGCTCACGGTTCTCCTCCAGAAGGAGTGAGCCTGGGGCTGCCCTCCCTGCCCCACGGAGGAGGAGGAGGAGGAAGCGGGGGTGAAGTGTCCCGGCGCCCTTCCAGCAAACAGGTATCCGCTTCCTGCAGGTATATTTCTACATTTGCATGTTTGAATGGAGTCAGGATAAATAAATAAAGACCGGAGAGTCATAGCAGAGGGGGGGTCTTTCCCATTGGGTGCAATGCAAGTGCGCCTCCTTCTGGCAGCTGCAGGAGTTGCAGCACCACTTCTGTTTTTGGGAGCCTTCTGTTTACATTTGCATTGGGGGGGGGCAATTTATTTATTTATTTATTTATTTATTTAAGACATTTATATGCCACCCTTCTCACCCTGAAGGGGACTCAGAGTGGCTTACAAGATATATATACATACAATATATTATATTATTAGCATAGTACAATATCAGTATTATATATTACTATATTGTGATACAATATTACATTGTAATATTATTAGTAATATTACATGTAATATAAATATATAATTATAATAGCATATTATTAGTATTACTGTATATACTCGAGTATAAGCTGAGGATGGGAAATGCAGCCACTACAGGTAAATTTCAAAATAAAAATAGGTACCAATAAAATTACATTAATTGAGGCATCAGGATGTGAAATGTTTTTTTTAATATTTACATAAAACTGTAATTTGAGATAAGATTTCCCAGCTCTGATTAAATAATTATTCTAACCTGCTTCACTGTAAATGTACTTACATATCCTTCCAACAATAATAAAGAGAGTAAAATAATAAATGTAATAATAATAATAATAATAATAATAATAATAATCTATACATATAATAAAAGTCAAAGTTTGTATGCGGCGGACAAAAGTGTGGCAGTGTGGCGGGAGGAGTATGTGCTAGCGTTCTGATTGGCTGCCGCTGTGGTGCTATTTGCATATGGTCTCTGATTGGCCAGCTTCAATAGGAGCCCCTGGTGGAGAAAAGAGTTCATGACAGAAACGGGGACATGAGAAGGAAATTTGCATATGGTCTCCGATTGGCCAGCCTCAATTCCAAGATTCCGAGATGACAAAGAGAGGAAAGGAAAAGGCCAGAGGGGGCTGAGTCAGACAATTACCAATACAGACCAAACTTGGCACACAAAGCCCCCATGACCCACTCTACATCCTACGGCAGTTTGGAGGAGGATGAACCATGGATGATGGGACTTGCAATACCTGCACTCCCTTCCTAAGACCATTACAACTGCCAACAATGATGGATCAGGACCACAATTTACACAGAGAGCCCGCATGACCCACTCTACATCCTGGTGCGGTTTGGAAGAATTTGACAATGGATGATGGGACTTGCAGTCACTTCACTCGCTTCCTGAAACCACTGAGACCCTCGCCAATGACTGATCAAGACCAAACTTGGCACACAGAGTCCCCATGACCCACTCTACATCCTGGTGCACTTTTGAGGAGGACAGACCATGGATGATGGGACTTCAAGTACCTCCACTCCCTTCCCAAGACTGCTGCAACCCTCATCTAATGACCAATCAAGACCAAACTTGGCACACAGAGCCCCCATGATCCACTCTACATCCCAATGCTGTTTGGAGGAGAACGGACAATGGATGATGGGACTTCCAGTACCTTCACTCACTTCCTGAAACCACAGCGACACTTATCCAAATACCAATAAAGACCAAACTTGGAACAGAGAGCCCCCTTGGCCAACTCAACATTCTGGTGAGGTTTGGGGGAGAACAGACTATGGAGGATGGGACTTGCAGTACCTAAACTGAGACCAGTTTCTGAGACCACTGCGAGCCATATAAATAACTGATAAAGAACAACCTTGAGACACAATTCCTTTCTCAAATAACCCGGGTAGCGCCAGGTCCCCCAGCTAGTAATATAATAAAGTAAAATAATGGAAATGCAATAATAAATGTATTAATAGAGTAAAATAATAAATGTAACAATAGAGTAAAATAATAAATGCTATAATAAAGTAAAATAATAAATGTAATATAATCATAAATAGTGTAAAATAGTAAATGTAATAATAATAATAATAATAATAATAATAATAATAATAATAGGGTAAAGGACTGTAAATGTAATAATAATAAAGAGAGTAAAATAATAAATGTAATAATAATAATGATGATAATATAATAAAGTAAAATAACGGAAATGCAATAATAAATGTATTAATAGAGTAAAATAATAAATTTAATAATACAGTAAAATAATAAATGCCACAATAAAGTAAAATAATAAATGTAATAATAATAAAAAGTGTAAAATAGTAAATGTAATAATAATAGGGTAAAGTACTGTAAATGTAATAATAATAGAGAGTAAAATAATACATGAAATAAAACTAATATATTACTAATAATAATACTAATAACAGAGTAAAATAATAAATAACCTTGACTCAAGTATAAGCCGACGGCAGCTTTTTCAGCCTAAAAAGGGGGCTGAAAAATTAGGCTTATACTCGAGTATATACAGTATGTTGCATTACATTATAATATTATAAATATATGTATATACAATATAGTATAGTATATTACATTATATTATTAGCATAGCACAGCATAGCCATTGCCAAACAATGGGGGCAGAATGGGGTTGGCTGAGTGCTGGTTAGAAGAAGAAGAAGAGGAATGGAGGAAGAGGAGGAGAAGGAAGACTGGGTGAGGAAGACCTCTCTCCCTCCCCCCCCCCCCAAATTTGGTGCTGATTATCCCCCCCCCCCCTTTCCTCCCCCACAGAAACACCTGGAGGAGTACCTCAACACCCTTTTGGGGTCCAGCTTCTACCGGGACCACCACGCTCTGGTAATGGCCTTCTGAATTCCTTGGGAGGGAAGATTGGGGGGCATTCTGGGGGTCCCCCCTCCTGAATTAATCATAGAATCATAGAATCAAAGAGTTGGAAGAGACCTCATGGGCCATCCAGTCCAACCCCATTCTGCCAAGAAGCAGGAATATTGCATTCAAATCACCCTGACAGATGGCCATCCAGCCTCTGTTTAAAAGCTTCCAAAGAAGGAGCCTCCACCACACTCCCTCCGGGGCAGAGAGTTCCACTGCTGAACGGCTCTCACAGTCAGGAAGTTCTTCCTCATGTTCAGATGGAATCTCCTCTCTTGTAGTTTGAAGCCATTGTTCCGCGTCCTAGTCTCCAGGGAAGCAGAAAACAAGCTTGCTCCCTCCTCCCTGTGGCTTCCTCTCACATATTTATACATGGCTATCATATCTCCTCTCAACCTTCTCTTCTTCAGGCTAAACATGCCCAGTTCCCTAAGCCGCTCCTCATAGGGCTTGTTCTCCAGACCCTTGATCATTTTAGTCGCCCTCCTCTGGACACATTCCAGCTTGTCAATATCTCTCTTGAATTGTGGTGCCCAGAATTGGACACAATATTCCAGATGTGGTCTAACCAAAGCAGAATAGAGGGGTGGTTATCCTGACCCCCCTCCCATTAATCCGTCTTTTTTTCTCCCCGCTCTTTAGACCGAGTTCCTGGACGTGAGCCCGCTCTCCTTCATCCCGGACCTGGGGCCCAAAGGCCTGTGAGTTTCCAGGGGGGCAGGGGGCTATCGGTCACTGTGATTTTTCTTTGTGCATCATGGCTAATTTGTCCGTTTCTGCTGCTTTAAAGACTTCAGCCATTCGCTCTTCTATTCTTGGAAGGCCTGCCTTCCTTCTTCCAGAACTGTATGTTTGCTGTTCGTGCTCCTGTCATCGTGTAGTGCCATACTTTGTAGTTTAGGGATTTCTCTTGGTTATTTGGGTTTCAGTTATAGGTTGGGGTCTTCAGTCTTGCCAGGCCTGCGTAGACCCGTGGCCAGACCCCAATTGTACAAGTTCATTCAGTTCTGCTCCCACTCTTCCTCTTCCTCCGTCCTGCAGGGAAGGCATGATCCTCAAGCGGTCCGGAGGGCACCGGGTCCAGGGCCTGAACTGCGCCGGACGCCACCAGATCTGCTACCGGTGGTCCAAGAGGTCAGTCCCAGTGGTCAAGTGAAAAGTGCATATAGGTGGACACATAATAATAATAATAATTTATTTATTTATTTATTATTTACTTTGCTTCTATACGGCTGTATCTCAAGCCCGAAGGCGACTCACAGCGGTTCACAAACAGTAAAAACAGTAGAAACAGCAGTGGTTCCATACAACATATAACAATTGACTTAACACATTATCCATAAATTACCAATAAGCAATTACAATGCACAATTATTACAAAAAACAACCGTACCCAATCTTATCATCATCCAAGCGTAGTCCAGGTTCGTCGTCCATTGTTCCATTCCTATGTTCCATTACCAGATTGCACTAAATTACTCAAACGCCTGCACAAACATCCAGGTCTTCACCTTTTTGCGGAATACCATTAGAGATGGTGATAGTCTAATGTCCGTAGGAAGGGCGTTCCACAGCCGAGGAGCCACCACCGAGAAGGCCCTATCTCTCGTCCCCGCCAGCCGAGCTTGAGAAGCAGGCGGGATCGAGAGCAGGGTCTCTCCGGAAGATCTCAAACTCCTGGTGGGTTCATAGGCAGAGATGCGGTCAGATAGGTAGCTTGGGCCGGAACCGTTTAGGGCTTTAAAGGCCAACGCCAGCACTTTGAATTCAGCCCGGTAGCAGATCGGTAGCCAGTGGAGTTGGCGCAACAGGGTGGTTGTATGCTCCCTGCGCTCCGCTCCTGTTAAAATCATGGCTGCCGAGCGTTGGACTAGTTGGAGCTTCCGAGCCGTCTTCAAAGGCAGCCCCACGTAGAGAGCGTTGCAGTAGTCTAAACGGGATGTAACCAGAGCGTGGACTACCGTGCTAATACCGTGCTAATACTAATAATAATAATAATAACTTTATTTATACTCCTCCACCATCTCCCCAAAGGGACTCGGGGCGGCTTACATGAGGCCAAGCCTATCAAATACAAATACAA